TCCGTCTGTCCCGCTTTAAGTTAAAGTTTTTGGTCAGGGTAGTTATACCTCACGCAACGGGTTGCGGAGGGTATAATGTTTTTGACCCGTCCGTCCGTCTGTCTGTCCGTCTGTCCGTCCGTCCGTCTGTCCGTCTGTCCGTCCGTCAGTCCGTCAGTCCGTCAGTCCAGTTTCTTGTCATCGCAACTCCTCTCAAACCACACAACAGAATTTCACGAAACCTTTTTAGATAATAAGGACATACTATGTAGATGTGCATATCGACAGGAAATTACGATTCAATTTTTTTTCTAGGAGTTACGCCCCTTTGAACTTATTTGCTTCAATGTACTACTGCAACAGTTTGTCATCGCAACTCCTCTGAAACCACACCACAGAATTTCATGAAACTTTGTAGATAATAAGGGCATACTATGTAGATGTGCATATTTACAGGAAATTACGATTCAATTTTTTTTCTAGGAGTTACGCCCCTTTGAACTTGTTTGCTTCAATGCACTACTGCAACAGTTTGTCATCGCAACTCCTCTGAAACCACACCACAGAATTTCATGAAACTTTGTAGATAATAAGGACATACTATGTAGATGTGCATATCGACAGGAAATTACGATTCATTTTTTTTTCTAGGAGTTGCGCCCATTTGAACTTATTTGCTTTAATGTACTACTGCAACAGTTTGTCATCGCAACTCCTCTGAAACCACACAACAGAATTTCATGAAACTTTGTAAATAATAAGGCCATACTATGTAGATGTGCATATTGACAGGAAATTATGATTCAATTTTTTTTTCTTACACTTATTTTATTTCTCTAATGACAATGTGGGGACGTGGGGTATGTGAGCGCGCTCACTAAGGTTCTTTAATTTTTAATGAAGTTGAAGTCAGTCAAATTATGTTTTTTGGTCTGTTCGTCCGTTCGCTCGTCCGTCTGTCCCGCTTTAGGTTAAAGTTTTTGGTCAAGGTAGTTTTTGATGAAGTTGAAGTCCAATCAACTTGGAACTTAGTACACATGTTTCCTTTGATATGATCTTTCTAAATTTAATGCCAAATTAGATTTTGACCCATATTTCACGGTCCACTCAACATAGAAAAATTATGGTGGGAGTTGGGCATCCGTGTACTATGGACACATTCTTGTTACACATGTTTTGCAATATTTAGGTATACTTTTGCGAGTAAAGAAGAACTGTCCACAGCTAAAAAGATCAGCAAGACAAGATCAACATTAGTAATGAATTATATCCCTGACTACATTTTGAGAGTTGTTACAGTTCAAGATGCACATATATCTTGGTCACGACAAAGGTTCTTTAGAGCCTATAGTTTTTAAACGGCCGCAACAATTTTTGCGGTCGTATATTGGTATCACGTCATCGTCGTCGTCTTTGTCAGCATCGGCATCAGCATCGTCCGAAGACATTTGGTTTCCGGACAATAACTTTAGTATATTTAAATAGAAATCTATGAAATTTAAACACAAGGTTTGAAACCACAAAAGGAATGTTAGGATTGATTTTTGGGGTTATGGTCCCAACAGTTTAGGAATTAGGGGCTCAAAAGCGGCCATAATAAGCATTTTTGTAGTTTCCAGACAATAACTTGTGTACCACAAGATTCCATTTCACAAAGGGAAGGCTGGGATTGAGTTTAGTGGGTAATTGCCCTAAACGTTCAGGAATTACGGGCCAAAAACGCATTTTTCTAGTTTCCAAACAATAACTTGTGTTTAAGTGTATGGATCTCTCATAAATAGTAATCCAAGGTACCATACCACAAAGGGAAGGCAAAGATTGAATTTTGGGGGGTAATTGCCCCCAAATATTCAGGAATTAGGGGTCAAAAACAAGCATTTTTCTAGTTTCCAGACAATAACTTGTGTTTAAGTTTATGGATCTTTCTGAAATTGTACTGCAAGGTACCATACCACAAAGTGAAAGCTGGTATTGAGTATTGAGGTTAAAAAAACTAGGGGGGGATTTTTTTTTCATAATTATTTGTTTTTTTTTTTCTAAAAATTTTCCATTGTTACATTGATTATTTCTGATTTTTATATAAAAGCAAAAAATACTGATATGGCAGGAGATACACACCAAACATGATGTGTAAATTATTATATGAAGTATTGTGCAATAGCAGGAAATCTTCAATTGCATAGTAATGCGCTATAGCACAGTATTGCGCAATCATGCAATAGCAAGACATCTTCAATTGCACAGTATTGCGCAATAGCAAGAAATCTTCAATAGCACAGTATTGCGCAATAGCACAATTATTTATTAATATATATTGTTATTACAAAACTTTAAATACAAAATGTCTATAACAATAAGACATTTTCTTGCAATATGCAACGGGTAAAATATTCTGTACATTTTGAAAGGAGTAATATATATACATCTTGAATTATGGATTTTTCTGCTAGGATGTAATGATTTTAATGAATTGAAATAGTAATTAACATGTTCCTGACGCTAATGTTTTCATCCAAAATGCTATTACTCTTAATACTCCCTCTCAAATTTTCCTGTTTAACATCACTGCAATTCCCTCTGCTGTGCATTAAACCCAGTTCAGATTGAAATTCTTCAAATAGCATTGCTTCCATTCGGTCTGCGACTGAAGATGCGTTTTTATATCTTTAAAATTCAATTCATTCAACAAAATACTCCACCTCTGGTCAAACGTATCTTTTATTGCTTCTTTACCCTGGCAAACTGTTGGGCAAGCTCATTAATTTGTTCTTCGTATTTAACTCTCTCTTCTCGTTGAATCATTTTTGCTTTTATTTCCTCTTTTATACTCTTCATGTCAGTTTTGGATTTTATTATCAAGTGTTTAGAAAATATTTTAAGTTTCATTTTTATTTTAACATGCAAAACGAAAATTCCATTGCTACGTATTAAAGTGAACAAAATTAAGGATGAAAATTATTAAGCCATTTTTCCGTATCAGATTTAGATTTCAGAATGATGCTTTTTTAGACTTGTTGTTTTCAGTAACATAATAAGAATTAAGAATAATCAAAGAAATCCTTGCGCTTAGTCAACACATACGTTATAGCCATTTATACATAAGTCCTTGCTCCCACATGATGCAAATGCTTTGAATCATGATCATGTATCACCATAATGATTTTGCTATGACTCTTTCTTTGAAAATATATGTGGCACATTACTGACTTGACAAATAGTTTCAAAATTGTTTTAATTGCACATATACCAACTTTACTGCATTAACTGTGCATTTCAACAAAGATGTATCTTCGGTGCTCAAAGCCAAAATATTTGAAAATTTCTAATTAAACGTTGTAAATATTTTCAGGTAGTTGATTAACCATGCAGACACATTTACAGAAATATTCTGGACTTAGATCCATCATTTTGTAAAAAAACAAGGTTTTAAGATTGATAAACTCCCCACTTATATTTAAGTTATTTATAGTTTTCTGATAATAACAAAAGTGAGTAAACTACTTAAATAGATACAATAGGTACACTTGACAAGATAGATAACCTTGATATAACTGAACATACGTTGATATCGCATGACCTCCTTGTCATTTAGAGAAACAAAATTGTGTAAAAGTAGAAAAGGATACTTTTAACTAAATTAATGACATTCTTTACGTTGACATTTTCGGCGCAGGAAATTGACATCGTTGATCTGTATACTGATACAGCTTCGATTGGGGTCAAATCCAGCAATTCTGCTTCAACATGTCACTAGCAGTTAACACCTCTTAATGTCTTATAATATGTTTTTTTACGTTATAATAACTTTTAGAGGATAATTATTATCAAGGCATGACTAGCTATCGTGTACTTCAGAAACAAGGTTGAGGGAGTGCCACGCCCCCGTAGTGGGGACATTCAAAGTAAAGATGACCGTTCTCCATTTCTACTTGATAGAAGAGCGTAATTGTCTATTACAAGAGAAACCTGATATACTAGGTTTATTACGTTTGTTGTTAAAGGCAAATGTACTGTACCTTCCAATTGTTTTGTTATATGCTATTCACATGCGAATTGCAGGTTCAAATGAGACTATATAGTATATCATTTATTTCTTCATTGTTAGTTTTCAAAGAGGTTACAATGATACAATGTATTTCATTTGTTTTTTGATAAACAAAAATGTTAGAATTATATTATACATATCAATTATTTTCAATTACAAATGAGGTTTAACTAATATATAACAATTGTTAAAGAGGGGCGAAAGATACCAGAGGGACAGTCAAGCACATAGATCGAAAATAAACTGACAACGCCATGGCTAAAAAATAAAAAGACATGTAACATGATTCTGTTACGAAGTATCCCAAACGAAGTCACTTTACATTATACCACAGTGGATTCACCATATGTATCATTCATTACATTATGACATGAAAAAACAAGAACATTTATGATTTTAGCGAAGCTATTTCAACCATTTTATAAAATATATGAACATAAAACGGCAAGATGGGGTATGGGAAGGAGGGGTTTTGAGTGATTAATCATGGAGACTCACAAAGTATATCATGCAAATCATGTCGGCTTGACAAATTAGAAAAACATAAGTTTTAAGGATAGGGATCTCGCGTGTTTACATATTTGAAAATTCGTAAAAGAGTAGAGAACGTGAGAATACCATTGTTAACTTTTTTCAGCAGTTTCTTATTTCCGGTAGTCTTATTTGTCCAAATAAAAAACACTTACAAAATTGTTTTGATATGTAAACTATTTTTCAAAAACGTTTAAAGAAGATTGACGAATGCGTCTCTTTTTTAAAACAAAAATGATGATAACGTCATAGATCAATGAAACATATTACGACAATCTTCCGGACCGTTTTCGTATTTCTGTTGACGTTTACAACATATATTGTACTTGAAATACATCCATGGACCAACATTAGACCATTGGATGACGCCTCGTGCTAATACGGTAGTTTTTTTTTTTCATTTTTATTCATAAAAAAAGGTTACAATAAAGACAATAAAAGAAAGTTTCCAAGTTATAACTTTAATTCATAGAGTTAAAAGATATTACAGTTAAATAATATAAATAGAATTATTGTAACATCTGTCAATCGAAGTCCTTATACCAAGGTTTTGACCATATATATCATTCAGTTTATAATAACTCGAAAAGCGAGAAAAAAAATATAGTTTAGGATAGGGATTTCAAAAATTTATTAACTTTCATTCGCAAAGTAAATAAAACGTTAACAATACATTCATAAATTGCTTATTTTCTCGAGAACACAGAGACTACAGTTAGTTTGGTAACAATCTTAGCTAACAATCAATAACAATAAACAATAGCACTGACAAAGATATCTTTCTTTTCCCAATAATTAAACGCAAGATGTCTCATAAGTTACAAATTTGAACCTAATTGTATGCATCATAAAAGATAAATACTTTTCCGTTATGAAAGGGATATTAACAATGCTCATGTATCAGTCGATTGATATGTAAATTGTCAGTTCAAAAATTAGATAAAACGTTGAAAATATTACAATGAACTACCAAAACAATATTGGCCAATTGAAGATCTTTATAATTGAAATGAATAAGATATGTTAAATATATGCAAACGTGACTCCCAAAATTTATACTTCAAATAGTGTTGGTTTTCATGGTGGTGATTTCAACCAACTCGTATATGTACGAATAGTAATAAATGGAAGATTAAGATTTCATGCTTTTTTGAAAATTGGAATTCTGTGTATTGTAATAAGAATAAAGATTGATCGATGAACTTCTTGTGCATAGTTAACATACATGTCATTGGAGAAAGTATATGGTTTATTGATGGGGATCTCAGACCATTTACAAGTTATTTGAACATTCTGAAAAGACAAGGGATGGCGATTACCAAAATAACAAACTTCGTTTTGAGACTTAAATGCTATCTTCTGATTAAGTTTAACTGAGCGAAGAAAATAATATGGTATACCTATAATTCAAACGATCGAAGTGAATATTTATTTTTTCAAAATCAATTAAATAACATGTTGACCGAAGTAAAAGTTGATTAAATATTTATTGTTAAAGTCCATATTTCAACAAAAAAAAAAAAGAATTTAAAGAAATTAAAGAAATATGATTTTTTGTAAAGAATAATACGTCAGACAATTAACATAATTTTACATGAAATGTGCTGGGTGAATATAGTTTTTAACCTTTTTTAGCAGTTGTATACATTTTCTTCAGGCGAATAAGCATCTTTAAACATATGAATTTTAATGCAAAACCTACTGAAATCATGCTTATATGGAATAATATCATTTATCACATACTTAAAGAAAATATGCTACATTCTGCATTTGTAATACAAATTGAAGTAGCATCCCTTGTCACCATACCTTGGTATATAATACGTCCTATTGAGGCCCACTTTCGGTCGTTTGATATATGTTAAAATAATAAACAGGTTCATACAAATTTAAGGTTTATAGATTTATTATAAAATCAATATTTTAATATGCATTTTGTTATAAAACGTTAACAATATTGAAAAAACGCATTCCTTTTTTAGATTGTAAATGACGCCATGGATCATTGTTAAATATCATCACAAACTTCAGGAACGTTTTCGTATTTATGTTGATAAATAGAACAATGCATGATCTTATCCATATCTGTCAGGCTATCATCTTACGACCAACAGCAGACCCTCTATTGGCACCTCAGGCTTATACATGTTATATGTAAGTCTCATGATGTTAAGCTCAGCAATATGATATTGGAAATGTATTACATTTTCATTTTAATTACCGAAAGTGGTTACAATTAAGTTACTAAAAGAAATTAAAGTCTCCTACGTTGTTAACATATATATCGTTTACATAGTAAATAAAACATAAATAATTCATTCATATGTTCATTATTCGTGACAAAAATAAAGACTACATTTTGGTAACAATCGATAATAACAATAAAATAAAATAAAAAAATAATCTGATTAACATATCTTCCTTTGCTCATAAATTAGACGAAATGTGTTTTAAATTATTACATTCGTCATAAAAATGATAATACTTTTCCATTATAACAGTTAAAGTGGGAATATTAGTAATGGTCATGTGACAACCGACTAACCATACTATTTCATCAATTTAAAGAATGAATTAAATCTGGAATATAAAACAATTAAATCTCAATAGATTCAACACAATAAAGATCTTTTTAATTAAAACAAATGTTAGTTTATATACAAATCAAATGTCGTTATGAACAAAGTGAATTCTAAATATGCCTAGTTTGACAAATAATGAATAAAAAAATCTAAATATATAATACAGAAATTATCAGAAATCTCATATTACACAGAATGTCTAAAATGAACAGTACATATTCTTTTGCAGTTTTATATATTAAGTTGACAACTTTAATGTCTATAAAAAGTTGACACTACTTTCTTTTCCACCTTCACGTCAAATAGGATTTTTGTGAAACACAATATATATAGTACGTCACATCCGGTTTCATACGAAAAAGGATCGAAAGAAACTATTCCTTGGAATATGACAGTTGTAGGAACTTGGCCCTACATTTCATAACAGAAATTTGTCTTTAGTCATAAACATACTTCTTAATTATTTCAAAGCTCGATGCTTTTTTATTTGGTGTTTCTATTTAGAATGTTGAAACTTGAGGTTTCATGGTTACTTAAGCTTGTAAACAGGAAATAAGGGGCGAAAATTTGATTGGATAATTTGTCTGTAGAACTGGTCAGAATAAAACCATACTCATGCCAAGTATTTCTTTTTTTTAAACAAAGATAAATTATGCACAATTTTTTGAAAACTGTCAATTCAACAAAGACTAATAAGGGAAAACAATAGTGATATTAATCGCTATTTGCAGTTCCTTGCCTGCTATATCACGCACTTTGGGAAAACATTGTTACAAGCTGTTTATGGCTTCTTCAAGTGTTATATCGTACCAAATAGCGGGAATATCGGGAAGTGTCTTCCTTCGATATCTGTCGGTAAGTTTCTGCTGATAAGTGCACATAACGTACATCCAGTATTTTGATGTGTCATGTGTTGGCGGAATGTCCCAGTCTGGGTAATGTTTTTTGTAGTCTTTATATTGTCGTGATTTCCCCTTATATTCATCTATGTCATAAGTTACATAGTCAGCTTCTGTTTGGATTATTTCATTGCAAAAGTTTACTACAAGTGACTTGTTCCACTCGTAAGTGAATCCGCTGATGCCTTGTGGGCGATGTTGTATACATTGGTGCAGTCTTCCATACTTAACATGTTCTTTGTCAGTAATCATGCATGGTTCTGCACAGAACATGCACTTTGCCTCACAGCCCCATAACTTTCCCATAATTAAACTAAGAACATCTGTCTCCCACTTCACGTCATCACTTGAGGTTTCAGCAAATGTTTTGTTGACTTGGTTTTCTACCTTCTTCATTTCCTCGAAAAGAACCTTCGTAAAATTTGAAAGATCGGATACATTTCGGCAAAGTACATGTACAAAAAACTCCTCAGTAACTGGTAAAATATCATATGTTTTCATTTTGCCAACAAAGACACTGATCCATTTAGATGAGCCAATGTTCTTCATTTTTTCTAAGAGTTATGTGGTTTCAGATATCGCCATTGATACCGTTTCAAATAGTTTGGTTGTTCTTGTCTTTGCAAGTAAGCCGTAATGGTGGACACCATCCGTTTTGTTATGGAAAATGTATTTGTACAAAAAGTCCGAAAGCCAATTTCTAGTAAAAGCCGCTGGTTCCTTAACAAAGGCCATGTACCCATCAAAATTTGCGTTTCTTGCTAGTTCGATCATTATTGTTTTCATCACCGTATACTTTTCTTGCGAAAATGATACTAACACCTTGTCTGCTACATCGATAGGAATTAACTTAGAAACATGATCAGTAACTATTTTAATTATTGCGTCTTTGAAAAAGCCAATTAAAATCATATCCTCTGCTTTTTGTTCCACTAAATTTGTGCATAGGGTCCAGGCTGTGTGTTTATACTGCTCCATTTGACCGCGAGGACTATGTTTTGACTCGTATTGTTGATCTAAATCAGTAAAGATATTTACTAAATGTCGAACGACATGTTCTATTATGAAGGCTCTATATGTAGAGTTCAAATTAAAGCTGTAGTCATTGGAAATATGATCGTTGTGGTCTTTAAAGCTAGCAGATATAATGTTCAGGATTTCACGGACGTATATGTTATCAAATCGTACATCAAGCTTGCTGAGTTCCTTTGTTTTTCTATCTATTTTTTCGAAAATTTTATCAGTAATTGACACAGCTTGCAACCTGTGCTCATCAAACGATTCTTCCTCCGGCTCATCTGCATTTAACTTTTTCTTCACGCTAATATGTCCCTCCATAATACTATCACACAAAATGCTCCCTTTCAAATACTCTAATCTGACTTCACAGTAACCCTTCCTGCTGTGCATGAAACCAAGTTCAGATTGAAATTCTTCAACAAGCATTGCGTCAATTCGATCTGCGACTGACGATGAGTCCTTAATATCTCTAAAATTCAACTCATTCAACCAAATATTCCACATCTGGTCAAACTTTTGTTTTATTGATTCAATACTCGGTTGAACACCTTGCATGTCCCTAGCTAATTTTTGGGCAAGTTCATTAATTTTTTTTTCGTACTTTACTCTCTCTTCTGTTTGAATCTTTTTCGCTTTTATTTCATCTTTTATTTTATTCATGTCAGTTTTCGTTTGAACTATCAAGTTTTCAGATAATAGGTTCATTCTTCTAAGTTTTTCTTCTTTCCACTGATTCATGACCTCTGTTAAATTGCTTGTTTCAATGAAAGAAACCAACCTTTCTCTCTGAGCATTCATTTCGGTTGCTAATTCTGTGGAAAAGGTACGAAGACAGTCATTTACGGACTCGTCCAATATATCAATACAGTCCTGACTAAGTTTCCCCATTTCGGCTGACGTTACAAATTTATACTTGAACTTTTCCAGTTCCCATACGATGGCATGATACTCTCTATCAATATCGTCGGAGGCCTTTCGTTCTAAATTGTTACGGAAGCCATATACAAAGTCGTCTTTTAAAATTCCTGTCCAAATGTCTTTTATGCGTGTAATTGTGTCTGAAATAGTAAGATATGTTTTTCTTTTAGCTGCAAGATTGACCAGGATTGTATTCTGAACTTCACCAACACGTTTACAATAACCTGGATTAACGGGTGCCATTGGTGGATCTCCATGCCAAAGATCTGAAAAATACGAAACATTTTTCTCACAGTCGAAATCAATTATTTGGTTAAACGATTGAATATCTGCCACGTCTTCTTGGTCGGCTGCTGCTTTTGCCATTTCGTCCAAACTTTGAACAAATATCTGCCTTTCCTCCAGCATTTTACTGATTGCACCGGCATCGGAAACATTTTGATGTATGAATAAACAGCTTTGTTTAAGATTCAGACTTTTATTGACAAGTTTTAGTCTCAAAAAAGCATGAACTGCTATTTGAAGGATATCTTTAACTTCCGACGTGTTTTCGCCCTTCACATTAACTATTGTTATATCTCCTAAACCTATCACAAAAGTAGCAAGCATATTATCATGTCTTAATTCATCTTTGCCTGCATGTCTTTGAGAACGCAAACCTTCCGTATCAAAGACAACAATATAGTCAAACCCAGAATTTTCCATGCTAACGGGAACCAATTGCATAAAAACACCACTCGTACATCTTCCTGCATTTACTGCGAATTGTAACCCGAACAGTGCGTTCAAAAGTGTTGATTTTCCGGAACTTTGGAGGCCAACTACTGAAATAGACAAGAGCTTTTTATCTTGAATCAATTCTTTGACGTGAAAAAGAACAGCTTCAACCCACATCAATGGAACGTGTGTTGTATCACCATCAAGAATTTCCATGGGCTGACCAAGTAAGAGAAGTTTCGCCGCAATTTTTGGGAGTTGTGTTGTTAAAATTCGAATTTTATTACTGATATCTTTAACGAAACCTTTACATGTTTCAACTGATTCGAATATTTGTCCACATTCTCTAATTAAATGTTCAAACCGAAAAGGAGCATTATTTAGATTTGATCTGCTCTTCTTCACTTCTACTTCTGCTTCGTTTACCTCACAGTTTTCAATTTTTGCTGATTCAAGTCTTTGACAGTCAGATTGGTATTTTGCAAGACAATAAGACGTAACTGTTCTCGATCGATCATTCAACATAAGTTTCATCCACTCAGTGAACAAAACAAAACAATCTTCGTTGTTTGAAAACTCGTCAAATGTATCTAGTGTCTTTTCAATAAACGGATGCATATTCTGTATGGTAGTAAGTTGTATCTGACGCTGTTCTTTCATTTTTTCTTGGTAAGTTGATCGTTCTTTTAGTGAGGTGCATTTTGATGCCCTGTTAACAATTTTTGAACTTTTGCTCCATTCATGCCAAGGTTTTCCTTGTAAGGGAGTTACAAGTCCCTTAACATCGATAACATCTCTAGGAAGGCATTCTAATATATTTTCCACCTTTTCCTTAGCCTTTCTAAGGTAATCGGATTCTTTATTCCGAGTTATATCACTGTCAGTTTCTGCATCTATCCTTGTAGAAAGAGGTTCCACATCGATCTTCTTTAACAGAGATGCTAATTGCAAGTGTAGGTTCTTTTTTATTTCAGATGCGGACGTATTTTGTTTATTTACAGCTAAAAGACACAGTTTAGTTTTCATGTTTTGTACAGGAATCTGTTTTAAATACTTTTGACAGATTTCTCTAGACGTTCTATTGTCATATTTGTATGCATCTAAAGCTAAAACAACACCCCCCGTAACAACATTTTGCAATTCTTTCAACATTTCTTGCGTACTTATGTCCTGAAGATTGTCTAGATCAACTAAAATTACAATCACAGAGGAAAGTCTTGAGAGTAATTGTAGTTGTTTTGGTTCCGTCTTAGAATTCCCTCTTAAATTCAGAAACATCGTGATTTTTTCAAAGTTGTTTAATTCACCCGATGGAAGGAACCAAGCAGCTTCTATAATACCTTGGCTAATTGTTTTTGGTGTAGTTCCTAGGGGACAGTTTTCATTAAAGAATGTTTCATGTGTGCTGTCAGAAAGTATGGTGTTGATCAGTTTCGACTTTGAAATTGATGGTCTTCCGAAACGAACAAAGCTTAAAATATGACAATTGCAATTTATCGCTAATACTTGTCTAACTAGGTTGTTGTCCATTTTTTCGTCCAGGACTATTGAATAAAGTAAAGAATTTGTTAAAGTCAGTTCGTTTATTGCAGATGGAATAACAAGAGGAATTGCTAGTTTGCACGTGAATAATTTTGCTACTAAAATATTCCTGAGGGATTGAGAACTGCAAATGAATAAGGCTACCAATAGGTCAAGCGGGTTCACTTTAATTTGCGTGTCATCTATGTCTGTGTCAAACATACTTAAATCTGACCATGAATCTTCATTTTCAATAGATGAATTGGATTTTTCTTCATTTAAATTTTCTGAAGATATTCTTTCTAGAAATTCTTGCAGCATTTTGTCGCGGCAGGTAGAGTTCATCATCATTAGATTTTTCAAAACCATCCATGGTACTTGGGATAGGGTATATGCTGCTGGTGATTGTATTGTCATCACGTCCAACAGTGTAATTTTCTGAGGATATACTTTATCTAAACCAAATTTACTCATGAAGTCCTCAATAGCTAATTGTCTTTTTGTCTTTGTTGTTTCATATTTAATCGTTTCCTTATATTGATCTTTGACTTCAGATTTTGGGTTATCTTGCTGCTGTAGTGTCTGCAGATATACGCTTAATTGTTCTGGACTTGAATCCAGTTCACTTTGTGTTTTTTCCTCTTTTGTTTTCATTTCTGTTAACGTGTTTTTTTGTCTTTGTAATGTCTCTGTACTCCGTGAGCTATGTGCGATGCCGGAATCAACTATCTTCTTACAATCCTCTTTTTGCGAAATATCTTTGTTTGTGTTTAGATCCTCGTCTGCTTTTTCTGCCTTTGTTTTTACTTGTGTTTTATCAAAATTTTGCCTTCCTTGCGACTTTGATTTATGAAAGATCTGAGCGTTGGTTGTAACTGTTGACTCTAACGACTGGTTTTTATCATTACGATCTGCACTCTCAGAAATATTTTGGGTTGTTTCAGGAAAGTCATCTGATTTTTCCACATTTGTTACGAAAGTTTTTCTGTCAACTTGCTTGGTTTCATTTAGTTGGCTGTCTGTTAAACTGGAATCTAACTTCAAGGTAGTTTTCTGATAGCCATCTGTTCTTTCGTTGATTGTTTTCATATCTTGACTTTCCTGTGTGTGTGGTTCCGCATGTATATGTTCACTGTTTGTTAAGCTGGTATCGGATGTCTCATTATTTTCATTTCTATCCTGGTTTTCCAAAATATCATAGGTTGTGTCCAAATCATCATTTTCCTTTTCAATCTTTCTGTCTAAATAGTGTCTGTCGTAGTCCGTGTTTTGTAGTGACTCTGACGTTTCCACCGATTGTAGATTATATGTCATATTTGAATTGACAGTCTGATTATGATCATTACTATCATTTTGGTAAGAACTCTCATTATTTGGATTTCTCTTGATAGGGTAGTTCATACTTTCCGTCTCTAAAATGTTTTCTGAGCTTGCAGCAATACACATTATATTCTTTTTAGATGCCTCCTCATCTGTGATATTACCGATTATCTCGACATCGGAGACAACCACTTTAATCGATTTTAAATTGAGTGTATACTTATCGTCCTTGATCGTCTCATAATTCAGTCTTGAATCTCTTTTTCTTTCATCAACAGACGATACATGTTTCGTCTGCAAAAATAAACAGTCCGCATTTTAACAGCTATTATTTACATATTTTAAATATCAAAATTGAATCTTGTTATATGAAGCATTAACATATATCACTAACATATACATTTGAGATCTCTATTATAAATTATATCATTCATACCGGAGAACTACTGATTTTTTTTATTCATGATAGAGTTAGACCCTTTTTTGACAATAGTGGAATACCAATGTGGAATGCAACTCAGAATATGGCACTTTTTAAAGCTTCCGATATTACTTAAAAACAATTGTCAGAAAGCTAGAATAAAAGCCAATTGTTTAGAAAGCTAAATTTGTATTATGCAATAACAGCGAGTAATTAACAGAGAACCAATAAACATAGGTCGAAAACAATTAAATAAAATGGTCAAACAGATCAGACGACAAATACCTAACGAATTCCCCAAATCCATACATAGAAACACGACGATTCAGTAAAACAACCAACAAGAAATAGGGGTAAAGGCAGGTGAACCAAAAGTGTAAGCAACTGCTGATCCACATGTATCACCTGTTGTTATACACCTTCTGAAATATCCGTTGAGAAGTCATGGTAGTCATTACACAATAGCGAATCTATCATTGGCATTTATCCGAAGTCAGAAAAAATATAACATGGAATTCTGAAAATGAAATTACGCAAAAAAACATTGAAAATTCAATTTAAACGAAACAAAACTTTATCTCTTTGATAAGTTATTTTACTGAAATTTGAAATTAAATCTTTAGCATTTGAAAAAAACACCACTTTAACATAAATTTGTGGATCCGAAGCATTAATCAAGATTTCCTTACATTTCTAGATTACCTTACATCAGAAACGTTCAAGCCCAAAGAATTGAAGCCACGGATTTATAAAAGGCTAAATACGTTAGAAGAGACTCACATTCTTCCAACATTAACTTAGAGAGAGTTGGGACCTTATTCTCTTGAACTTTACGAAATTCATTAACTGACGACTGAATAAAATATGTAAAAATCATTGCAGAACTGAAGCACTGACCCTATCAGACCGCTTCGAATTTAGTATACCAATAGCGATATGCACACTAATATTCCAGAAATTGTGTGTGTTAGAAGCGGTTTATTAGAATTAAAAATGTGTTCGACGTTATATGCATTTGATATTTGCCACCACAGACGTCGGATATCGACTCATTATCATCGTATATTATCTTCTCATATTATAATTAATTTGTCATGAGATTGTATTACAATAAAAGTCAGAATTGACAGTTATGTCTGACAGAGCTAGGTCCTTATGGTTTACCAAATGAAAAACTAATCAATATGCATTCAACGAAAAGTGCTTATTCTTAAATCAGTAACGTCTATATCATATGAAATAGTTTCATTATTTAAAGATTGAATATTTACTATGTCTGACTAAAAACCCTGTGTAAGAAACGACTAATTTCAAAATAATGGAAAACAGCGATCTTAGAATTACATGATAACCTTTGAATTAAAACTAATGGGTATACCATGTTTTTTCCTGTTAATTATAAGTTAAAGATATATCGTTTAGATAGCATTAAGTATATATTCATTCATTATTCAAACAAAATAAATTGTATTTAAGAAATTGCTTATGAATGAACCCCAATGGTATGAATTGAAAAAAAAACCACATGCCTGTGGAAAGGAGAGTAATTAATATGTTTAGATACTTATCTAAAAAAAAATCCAAATACTTACATCACGTGGTAGTGTTTTATTTTTGATTGTTAGGCCACCAATATAGTCACTACCACATTCTTCCTTACAACTGCCTTGGAGATCTAATGTGTATCTACAGATATGTATTGTAAACGTTAGCTGTTCATTAATCTTTACTAGAATCTATCAATGCTCTTCAACTTCGTACTTTATTTAGCCTTTTTAACTTTTTTGGATTCGAGCGTCACTGATGAAACGCGCGTCTGGCGTAAATACAAAATTTAATCCTGGTATCTATGATGAGTTTATTTACAACCACTGGGTCGATGCCACTGCTGGTGGAGTTTTAATTCCCCGAGGGTATCACCAGCCCAGTAGTCAGCACTTTGTGCTGACATGAATTATCATTGATATGGTCATATTTATAAATTAACGGTTTACAAAACTATTGAATTTTTTGAAATACTAAGTATTTTCTACCTCAGGATAAGATTACCTTAGCTGTATTTAGCAAAACTTTAAGGATATTGGTCCTCAATGATCTTCAACTTCATACTTTATTTGGCCTTTTTAACTTTTTTGGATTCGAGCGTCACTGATGAGTCTTTTGTAGACGAAACGCGCGTCTGGCGTAAATACAAAATTTAATCCTGGTATCTATGATGAGTTTATTTACAACCACTGGGTCGATGCCATTGCTGGTAAAATTTTAATACACAGAGGGTATCACCAGTCCAGTAGTCAGCACTGTGTGCTGACATGAATTATCATTGATATGGTCATATTTATGAATTAACGGTTTACAAAACTTTTGAATTTTTTGAAATACTAAGTCTTTTCTACCTCAGGAATAGATTACCTTAGCTGTATTTGGCAAAACTTTTAGGAATTTTAGTCCTCAATGATCTTCAACTTCGTACTTTATTTGGCCTTTTTAAATTTTTTGGATTCAAGCGTCACTGATGAGTCTTTTGTAGTCGAAACGCGCGTCTGGCGTAAATACAAAATTTAATCCTGGTATCTATGATGAGTTTATTCACAACCACTGGGTCGATGCCACTGCTGATGGGGTTTTAATTCCCCGAGGGTATCACCAGCCCAGTAGTCAGCACTGTGTGATAACATGAATTATCATTGATATGGTCATATTTATAAATTAACGGTTTACCAAACTTCTGAATTTTTGAAATACTAAGTCTTTTCTACCTCAGGAATAGATTACCTTAGCTGTATTTGGCAAAACTTTTAGGAATTTTAGTCCTCAATGATCTTCAACTTCGTACTTTATTTGGCCTTTTTAACTTTTTTGGATTCGAGTGTCACTGATGAGTCTTTTGTAGACGAAACGCGCGTCTGGCGTAAATACAAAATTTAATCCTGGTATCTATGATGAGTTTATTATTCAAACTAAATGACACTCATACAATAGTTATCAAAGGTACCAGGCTTATAATTTGATACGCCAGACGCGAATTTTGTCTACATAAGACTCATCAGTTGCGCTATGATCAAAATAGTTAGAAAGCCAAACAAAAAGTTGAAGAGCTTTGAAGACACAAAATTCCAAAAAGTTGTGCTATATACGGCTCTGGTAAGCTTTGCCTGAACAAAATAGTCCATTTTTACCATAAGTTTATTTCCAATTATAAAGTATCTAATTTTTAAAAAGTATTTGCGTACCTTCAATAATGATTATTTTTTTTTGGTGAAAAATATGAAAGTTTCCTTAAACTGACTTCGTTGTTATTTTGCTGTAGCTTACTTTTTACAATAGATTTCTTAACAGCATGTTTAATTATCTTGGTGAAATGTTATGCATTATACATCAATAGAATATTTGATTTAGTTATGACAACCTCAATTTCTCTTGACAAAAGAGAAAACCACATCTGTTCTTCTGTATGTAACACATGTAACACAAGACTTACTTTTCATACTTAAAAGATTTATCATTTTAAATTCTCCTGCTAAAAAACATTCGACACGTTTTGCTTTTTTTCGTAATATATGAATATAAAAGATAATTCAAGTTTTACCTAAACGCGACGATTTATGCCAATTATTTCTTATCATGAAAGTAGAAAAAAAAAATAACTCGCTCACAGAAAACAGCTGGTTTACAGTTATAAAAGACTTAAAAGTTAAAAACTATTGCAAAGATGATTATTGCAGTCGAGTTGGTTTATAGTCAGAATAATATTCCCCGGGGATGCAAACAAGAGCTCTTTCGAATTATTTTCAGTGCGTAAAATGTAATTATCAGTATAAAATAAGTTGAAGAACAAATTATGGCGTCATATTTTAGCTTTTCACATTATTTATATGATTTGGCAGCTTAACACTTGATTCGTTCCTTACCTTGTTCCATTATTTCTGTCAAGTTTAACGTTTTCGTCTACTGACATTTCTGTTGGAGTTTCATCCGAAGAAGCGTCCATGTTCTCTTGTCTAATCCTAAAATTTAAAGAAAGATATGCAGACATGAATATAATGTATTCTTAAATTGAAACGCATTATCGTTAATATTCGTTGAACTATATTATTAAAAAGGTTAAACATGAAGAAGTACAATGCTTTGACTCTTAAAATCAATGCACATAGATATAAGAAGATGTGGTAAATGTATGAGTGCCAATGAAACAACTCTCCATCCATAGTTTTTATTTTCTATTTTTTTTGTATTTAAAAGCAAAAAAGAGATGGAATAAATAATGGAACACAGAAGTACAAAACAAATAAACTCCAAGTCAAATTGAAAAAAGGGGAAGTCCATAAAAACTGATTAAACCAAATGCAATCAATCAACAGAACAAGTAAAAAACAACTGCTATTTCTGAAATAAAATGGTGGATCAAGCCTTGTTTAACAACTATCTTAACCTCCCACTTGTATGACAATTGTTTATAGTTCCGTTATATTGACATATTGACGCAATTTGCCAACCTATACAGACTTGGTAAATGTTGCAATAATTGGGATACAGGAGTCAAAACTGTGTAAATAAAGGCAATAGTAGTATACCGCTGTTCGAAACTCATAAATCGAAAGAGATAAAAACAAATCCGGGTTACAAACTAAAACTGAGGGAAACGCATCAAATATAAGAGGAGAACAACGACACAACAAAAACACAACATTAAAATGTAACACACACAGAAACGAACTATAATATAACAATGGCCATTTTCCTGACTTGGTACAGGACATTTAAAGAAAAAAATGGTAGGTTGAACCTGGTTTTGTGGCATGCCAAACCTCCCGCTTTTATGGCAACGTCAAACACAACACCAAAACGACAACATCACATGACAGGACCACAATACAAATAAATGGGAGAACATATAGGACAAAGAAACACACGAATAATAGCTAGCAGAAGGTACTAGGCTTAAAATTCAATACGTCCACACAAGACTAACCAGTGACGCTCAGATAAAAAAAAGTTTGAAAGCCAAAACAAGTACAAAGCTGAAAAGCACCGAGGACCAAAACTTCCAAAAAGTTGCGTCTAACACGGCCAGGATTTTCTGCCTTGGAGAAGAACATCCTTATTATTTAGAATAATTTATAATTTTGCAAACAGTAAATATTATAAAATGACTATATAATAGATATACATGGTAAAACCAACACTAAAATACAACATACTGATTAATCTACCAAAGACGCCAACAAAATAGATTAAGTTAATGGTAGTAGGTATAGCAGGAACGAACATAACCCGTACCACGACAAAACTGGTTATTCTGATCGGACGTTGTAAGTTAAAACATCCCATAAACCAAGAAAAAAAATCTGATGAAAACAACAACAGACACGAAATGTCATGCCTTTCACATAATTTAAATCTTTTGATATCTAAAGAACTTGATTCATTTCTTACCGTGTATTATTATGTCTATCAAGTTTTTCGTTTCCGTCTACTGGCAATTCTTTTGAAATTCCATCTGACAAAGAACTCATGTTCTCGAGTCTAAAATTTAAAGGAAGAAATTCAAACATTCATAATTATAATATGACTCTCATATCCGTTAAGATTTGTTAAACTATTTTATAAAAAAATGCTTTAAACATGAAGATATGCTTGCTATGATTCCAAAAATCAATGCAAAGTATTTTTTCCGTTTACAAGCAAACACGCAAGGTTTACAAAATTAACAGCCCGAAAGTAATCTGGTCTTATTGTCCAAAAAGAGGCTATTTATATTAATCATTCTGGTAAACTATTCCACATCTCACACATGCTACAGTTTTGTCTTGCCTTATTGAGATTTGTAATATTGTAACATCGCGGCAACATCACTTACACTGTGTCTATTGCATTAGACTACTCAGACAACTAGTCTCAATACACATTAACTTTCGTACAGTCACAAGAAACCATAAAAAAATCCATGACCACATTGCCATGCATATTTAAACATGGGTCAACTAAAACTAACTGAAAAAGTCTTGATAATCTTATTCAATACTAGCAATATTTAACACGCACTTTGAATGATATGCATTTAAGTCAACAAAGAATTAAGACAGACAAAGATTATACCGATTTCCCTGAATGTTATGTACTCATTTGAAGTGTTCGTAATATCAAAATTAGTCGTTTTACATTAAAATCTTTAAAGTGGATGCATTATCGTTTGTAGCTTATCATCTGCTGTCGAATATTTATAGTGTGTTCATAATAAGGAGAAGTAAATGATATATTATAAAGTTGTTCCAATTAAAGGGGTCGATCATGGTGAAACGAGGTAAAATAAGAGAAAGTTAGACTGCTGTTCCCTGATTTTTGCCATTTTTACCTATTGTGTCTGTTTTTTTTTGTGTTCGCACATCATTGTCGATGTGGTGGAGTTTTGTGCAACTGTCATAAAAGTGAGAAGTTTAGCTAGCTATACACCCAGGTTTTATCCCTAAATATGTACATAAGTATATTTTGATTTTGCCACTTGCTTAAGGACTTTCCGTTTAGAAATTTCCTCGGAATTGTAGTTACGACATAAGGAACATATCCGATATCATCTGTATAACGAATATTCCATAACGTTCAACCAACTCGTGATGGCGTCCGTAATATTTACGAAGTGGTGATTGCAACTCACACTCTTGGTTTAAAAATGAAAAGGTAACAATTGGCAAGCTGAAATCATCTCTTTTGTCGTAAAGTTTTCTTTTCAACCGATCCTCATAGTCAATTTCTAGATATAAGTCCTAATCAAACGGCAAAATCATAAGCTCAAACACATCAAACGAATGGATAACAACTGTCATATTCCTGACTTGGTACAGGAATTTCCTTATGTAGAAAATGGTGGATTGAACCTGGTTTTATAGCGCTAACCTCTCACTTGTATGACAGTCATATATTATATTTACAACGATGAGTGAACAAAACAGACATAATAGGTTAAATAGTCAAAATATGGGTACAGCATGTCATCACTGTGTCACAATCTCAAAACAAACATACATTTAACATAAAAGCACAAAAAGCATCTATCAAATTTAAAAACCACATGCATTGCTTCGCGTGTTTGACGTCATAAAATGTAAACGTCACATATGAAGAAATATAAAATAATTTTGCCGTTCAATGTTTTTTCAAAAAAAATATTTAATCTTATATGGGGAATGGTGGTATAGAGGGTTAAAAAATCAAAAGTATGTTAGAAATAATTTCAGAAACAGACCGAGATTTAAAACTGGCCTTTGTTAGTCTTGCATGATTTTCAATTTTTTTTTTTTTTTTTTTTTTTTTTTTTTTTTTATATATTTCGGAGTTTAGTATGACTTCCATTATAACTGAACCAGTCTACGTTTTTGTTTATGGGCCACATGAAGCACGCCTCCGGGTGCGGGATTTTCTCGCTGCATTGAAGACCCATTGGCGGCCTTCGGCTCTTATCTGCTCTTTTGGTTGTTGTCTCTTTGACATATTCCCCATTTCCATTCTCAATGTTAAGATAAATCTAAGAGTGTGCTAACTCCTATTCAGTATATATGCTTATATCAACTAATCAAGTTAGTAAATGGTTTCTATATATCAAAAGTACATTTATTCATGTGCGTTTTTAAGTATAAAAAGATAATATTGTAAGGTAAACCCACTGATGCTCATATTTTAATTAATATTTTAAATTGTTTAAATTTTGTGATCTTATTTTTTCAGCTTCAAACAGCAGTAGTAACACCAATACCAACACCTTGTATAAATGAATTTAGTGTTCAACATAATTATATTTGGTATTCTTCATCAATCATACAGCAAACAATGGGAACAGATTGAGAAGACTAGAAAACAATAAGAAAAAAGTAAAATAAAAAAAAGTAAAATAAAAAAAAATGCTGATATCCGAGGAAGCTCAATACGAAACGACTCTTTTTAAATGGCAAAATCAAAATCAATAGCTCAAACACATCAAACCCATGGATAACAACTGTCCTATTCCTGACACTGTATAGGCATTTTCTTAAGAGTTTAGTTACCAACAAAACACATCACTGCAGACTTGTCAAAACAATGACGACAGCAGTGAGATTATAAACATATTACAAACAAATTTGCACATTTGAAACGAAATTGTAACGATAAAAAAAAAAAAAATCACTCATAGTCATACAATATATACTTACTACAATATTTTTTTAGAAATGACACCTTCATGTTTCAATTATTTTGATTAGGTTAATGTCATGGCAGCTATTGAAGTGACCTAGTCGCATATTATAAGGTCGGTCGTTAATCGTGGTCAAAGAACATTAATATATGGCTGAAACGTTATAAAGGTACTTTTAAGTTTCCTTCTTTCATGTTTTCAAAAAGGTCCTTCTAGGAAATTATCACAGCATTTGAATCTCTTTTTTATTTTTTACTGTTAAACAGTACTACTAGTAAAATTAAAAAACTGTAGATGCATGCATGGAACCTAAATCCATACTAAAAGCTGAATGAAATTCTGTTCCCTATGTGAATAATATAACTAGCTAATGTTTTATTTCTGAATACGTCGCAGTGTGCGTTTACAGGAAAATAGTTGATATACGATTGTGGTAAACATTATAATAACATTTGTTGAAACACAACGTAGAAAATGAAGTTATACATACTTCATGATACTTGTAATTGATACCGTAACATGATAACAATCGATTACGGTTACGAAAGGTTAAATATCCGTCTATTCAAGTACAATTCTGAACAATATCTGAAAAATTATAAGTACTATCTTCAATTGACGTGATTAAACATGTCTTCTCTTCTCAAGAACACACTGTCATAAATATTGTAACCTTTTTTTGTAAAATGATGTTTTGATTTTTTTTTATCATTTCTATCTGATTTTGCTCATATTGTTCTATTATTATTTTTTAGCACTTGTTAAAGATATTTTTGAAATTGTTCTATCTTCTTATATTGAATGAGTTGAGAGATCAATTAAACTTTACAAAATAATACTAGTTTCGAATAAAAGGAGAAAACAATAAAATTGCGTGTCGTTGTCTACAAAAGAAACTACTAGGTGTTACAGTACACGTTATATGTTTAAAAAATTAAAACTAAAGTCTCATAATTGTTCCCTCACTTAAAATAATGTTTTACAAAGACGTGTTTCTATTGCTTTAAACCTATTAAAAAATTCAAGACAGAAAGAAAACAAATAATTGAATCCCCGCCCACCCCCTCCAAAAATAATTACCCTACTCAAAACAAAAACAAAACAAAAATAATAACATAGTTACAATAATGAAGATATCAGTAAAACGCTGCTACCAAAAATAAGCTCAAATATGAAATTCAATGAATAATTAACAAAATGTTGTAAGTCGAAATAAGGTTACTGAGTTAAATATTTGAAGGAAACTAACCTGTAATGCAGTATAAGGAAACCTTTGAACGAAACAAAATAAAATCCTTGTTTGCTATAGTTTTATTTAATAAGAACTATATCCTTTAATATGTATAGATTTATAGTCTTATAAATGTGCCAACTAAACAAATATTTATATAAATTGCATATATGCATAGCATTAACATAAATCCGAACAAATACAAATAAATACTTACAAAGAAACAGCTATATCTTATGAAAATTTTTATAAAAGTGTACTTGATCAAAATGATCTGTTCACTCAAGAAAACATTATATAGATTGCATGTATGCAAAGTTCAAATCTTTGCCTATATGATAATTATTTACATAGACGATACTATCTCTTTCTTAAATCTATATAATACTGTATTTGATCAGTACAATCTGTTCACTTAAAAATAATTACATAGAAATTACATGTATGCATGAGTTTGTGAAAATTAAATACCGATTTTATGATTCGTAATTCATGTACCTCTTTATATTTCAATAGCTATCGAAATCTACCTATTATGGATAAAATTGTGTTGAAGCACAAACGAACATTAGCCATGCAATGAAATATTTGATGTCATAAAATCATATTTGTAAAGTCTTATGAAGCGTAGCTAACATGTTACACATATTTCAACGACAATAGTAATATCTTGTCTCAAATTATAATTTTGATTCCTAAAAGGGTTATCAGTAATAGTTTCATGTATTACATTTGCAACAGTCACATACAGATTACAGGTGCAGGCTTACTTATCACACGACCTGATTAAGGGCTCCTTTATATCTAATGTAATGTAATAATGGTATAATATTTATAGCAATCATTTCAAGCATATAGAGAGCATATGTTTAATAATGAAATGTTGATATGTACGTCCATGACACAGTTTAACGCAATTTATGTTACAATAAATAGATGAAAACCTAAACAGGTTCTATCATACAAAGATTTGGTTAGACAGTTTGGCTGAATCTGTTCAATTCTTTTTAATACGGATATGACATCCTCATTATAATTTTGTAGTTATTTATAAAGCAGTTAAATTTAGACACGATCTTATTCCTAAAGGTTATCAATTAAAAATAAAAACACTTCAAAATGCATTCCCTAAACAGTGTCTTAAATTAAGTAAAAATAGTTCAGGGCAAACCAATAACACTTTGGGAAACGCCAATTACAGTAAGAACAGATGCATCAAAATTAGGGTAAATCAGGACTTTAAACTATATATAATTTTACAGCGTAGCAAAAAAACAATATCTTTTTTTTATCCGAAGTTTTCGTGAATGAAATATTTCACACTAAATCAATATTGGCAATATTCCAAATGCACTTTAAATGATTAGTTTGCATTTAAGACACCAACGAATTAAGAAAGACACAGATTTAACCGATTACCCTTAATGATATCTACTTATTTGAAGTTTTCTTAATTTTCAAAGTTACTAGTAGTCAATTAACAGTCATATGTTTATTAAGGAAGGTTGATTTATTGATTGTTGGTTGCTTAGTCTCCACTGACAAATATTTATTGCATGTTCAGGACGAGATCAAATAAACAATATTTAAAATAGGTGGTCCAGTTAAAGGGGTCGACCAGTTTGTAGAGAAGGGAAAATGATGATTGATTTGCCATGTTTAATAGGAACTAAACATTACCCTTTCAATAGGCTACTTTCGAACCTCTAAAGGTTTCGTTCAAGGGTTCTCAACCTGCATCGGTCGTGGCAATCTCCACGCACTAGGCACGGGAGTACACTGCACATTCGTTAATATTTGTTATACTACATAATTAAAATGATTGAATTATCATGATTGAAATATGAAAATGTATAATAATATGATCCCAGAAATCAATGCAAGTTATATGTTTTACTTAACATGCAATACGCAATGTATTCAAACTAAATAGAAAGTAGGTAATCTGGCCTTTCTGTTCAGCAAGAGATTATTTTTTCTATTTACATTGGTATATTGTTCCACCTCTCTCTTACATACAAAATATTTTAACACATGAAGATTTCCTAAGCTTTTAGGCACTGAAAACTTAGAAATACCAATAAAATGTTCAGAAAAAAAAAATCAACATGATATATAAAGATACTGTTAACAATGAAAATAATGCATATTATGATAATGTTTTAAACAATAAACTAGTTAAATAAAATAGCAAAATGATTGAAATTATGCTTACTAGCTATTCAATTGCAGGTAACAGGTTTGTAGTGGTGGTTATGGAGATCAATCTACTGATGTAATATATCTTTTAAGTTATATGAATTTGTAGTCCAATAAAATTTTCAATTCATCAACATTTGAATAAATTTCACACATGCAGAGCTTTACCAGATATAAGTAGAAGTATAAAGACTTCTTACGTAGAAACAGCTATCTTTAAAAGAAATCATTATACGTATATAAAATTAAAATCTGCAATCTTATAAAAAGATATATATCTATTTCATGTATGAAAGGTTTAAATCCTTTCAAGCATAATGTTATTTACGAAGACACTGCTATCTCTTCTCTAAAATCTTATCAGAATATAATTGATCATATAATATCTACACTTTAAATATATTTACGTGTATATTACATGTAAGAACGGGTTTTTTCAAAACTTATCACCGATTTACTATGTAAATCCATCCAGTAAACATGACATGCTTGATTTTAATCACAAAAGATGTCAATCAATACAAAAAATGCGAAACGTTTTAGTTATAACTTGTTTTTATCAATTTCTGTTTTTTTTTTTTTATTTCATTTGACTTGCTATATCTAGTTATAAGCACAATATATATATTCTTTTATTTTTGTGTGTGTATCATTGTGTATGTGCAAAACAAACGTTGCAATTTCTCAATCGTGAGTAAAATGCAAATATTCTTATCTGATTCCTTGGTTGAATAAATTACATTTATCATTATCTCTAATTTAGTACATCGAGAATTGAGTTTACTTTATCACAGGAGTCTTTACAGATTATTGTTAACAAAATGCACAATAACTACACTTGTGTCATGAATGGTTTATTTTACACACAGAATATATTCCAGGTTAGAGCTTCATTTGTATGTGTGAACCCTTTGCCATTGGATTTTAAATAAACAATAAATCAGTCAACAACGACAGATCTAAAATGACGAAATATTTCAACAAGATAATCTTGTTAGTCCAATGAGTAGTTAGGTCGGTAGATATAACATGTAACGCCCTTAGATCTAATTAATGAAATGATTTAATAGTTAAATGTAGTATAAATTCCATTTAATTGATAAATTCAACAACACTTACCGTTATTGTGATGAAATATACTGCTGAAATTTACTCAGAAGAACCAATTGAAATAAATCTAATACCAACAGAAGCAAACACTGTCCTTTTCTAGATTTATATATATCAGTATTACATTTTTTTGTACAACAGAAATACGACATAAGTGATACATTTCTTTCTCTAATGTTAATGTTCCCTTAATGGACGGTGAAGTTCCTTTGGCACCGTCTTGCGGTGTTTGTATATCCTAACTGGTTCATTAAACTAATGTTTGTAGTGACGTTTTGGAATTTAATGAGAGTAATATGTGTATTACTAGTACATGTAGTAAGATAGTATGTCAGGGATTTCCTTTCCACGAATTATTCAAAACCGTAACTTAATTCTTTCAAACATTTTAGATACAAAGATTGAATCTGCAAGGTTGGCTGTAACATTATACTAAACGGAATAGCACATCCTAAATTTTAGGGGGATGTTTAAAACCGAGCCCGGAAATTTAGATACAATCCGTGTAAACTTATCAATCCTTTAAAAAAAACTTCTGCCTGTCGATACTTTTATTTTGGCATTGTACAAGTCAAATAGTTTTGACTGCTCATGGCGTTAAAACACGAAATCTCTGGGATATGTTGTAATAGATGCATGATTTTAATTCGACCTGGTAACACAATTTGTAATGCATTTTTGATATTCAATGATTACGTATTTTATGTTATATCTTGTCTCACTATTCTTAATATATAGCACCTTTAATAAGTATTTAGTATAACGATACATTTACACCTATGTTCTCCTTCTATGAATATTTAATATATTTATTTTGTAATACATCGATCTCCTAACAGGAAAATTATTATAATATACATGTGTACATTATTTTATTTAAAGACATTTTGACCAAGGTAAAATTTGTGTTTCAGATATTGTTTAACATCTCTCTTTTTAGCTCACCGGGGCCCGAAGGGCCCCATGTGAGCTTATGCCATCACTTGGCGTCCGTCGTCGTCCGTCGTCTGTCGTCGTCTGTCGTCGTCCGTCGTCTGTCGTCGTCTGTCGTCGTAAACTTTTTCAAAAATCTTCTCCTCTGAAACTACTGGGCCAAATACCTTCAAACTTTAACTAAATGTTCCTTAGGGTATCTAGTTTATAAATTGTATCCGAAGTTTTGATCCATGGACAAAAATGGCCGCCATGGCTAAAAATAGAACATAGGGGTCAAATACAGTTTTTTGCTTATATCTCAAAAACTAAAGCTTTTAGAGCAAATCTGACATGGGTAAAATTGTTCAATTGGTCAAGATCTATCAGCCCTGAAATTTTCAGACAAATCGAACAACCCATTGTTGGGTTGCTGCCACTAAATTGGTAGCTTTGAGGAAATTTTGCATTTTTTTTTTATTATCGTGAATATTATTATAGATAGATATAAACTGTAAACAGCAATATTGTTCAGCAAAGTAAGATCTACAGAAACGTTAAACGACCAAATTTGTCAATTGTCCTCTTAAGGAGTTATTGCCCTTTAAAGACAATTTTACACAATGTGTTCATCAAGTTTGCTAACATTTAAAAATCTTCTCTTCTGAAACTATTGTGCCTAATACTTCTTAACTTTGAATGAATGTTCCTTTAGGAATCTAGTTTATGAATTGTATCCGAAATTTTGATCCATCAACAAACATGGCCACCATGGCTAAAAATAGAACATAGGGGTGAAATGCAGTTTTTGGCTTATATCTCAGAAACTAAAGCATTTACAGCAAATCTGACAGGGGTAAAAATGTTCAAAAGGTCAAGATCTATCAGCCCTGAAATTTTCAGATACACCGAACAACCCATTGTTTGGTTGCTGCCACTAAATTGGTTGTTTTAAGGAAATTTTGCAGTTTTTGGTTATTATCTTGAATATTATTGAAGATAAAGATAAACTGTAAACAGCAAAAATGTTCAGCAAAATGAGATCTACAAAAAAATTTTTATATCACCAAAATTGTCAATTGACCCCTTAAGGAGCTATTGCCCTTTAAGGACAATTTTACACAAGTTGTTTTATGTTTTTTAACTTTAGAAATCTTCTCAAATGAATCTAGTATAAATTTTGTATTTCATTTCCTTGTACGTCAAGAAACATAGACACTATGGCTAAAATGGAACATATGGGTAAAAAGCAAAAATAATCATTGATGAAAGATTTAAGCAAAAAAAAAATAACAGGTGAGCGATTCAGGCTCTTGAGAGCCTCTTGTTAATTAATATAATGATTGTATTCATATTGTGGAAAATATCGAATTTATTCTTTCAGTGTGAGTTTACTTTTTTTAATACACGTATGTCTTTTTGAATGAGTTCAGCCATCTCAATTGATATTCTATTTATACATAAGTGTTTCTCATTTCTCGTTTTTTATCGAGATTAGAGCGTTGGTATTTCTGTTTTAATGGTTTTACACTAGTCATTTTGGGCACTTTATAGCTTGCTGTTTGGTGTGAGACTGATCTCCGTGTTGAAGGCCGTACTGTGACCGCTTATTGTTTACTGTTTACTCATTGTCCTGGATGGGGATTTGTTTAATTGGCATTCATACCACATCTCCTTTTTTCTATTATTCTAAACGGTTACATATTCAACACTGTAATTTGAATATTGTTTATTGTTGTAAATATAGATTTTGTTATCAGTAAATTAAAACCATACTAAACACTTCTTATATGTACCTTCACGGTAGTAGATTCTGTTGATACCTATAGTTTGGCACTGACTGTTAATGACGCCTTAACACTAAATCAATTGGATGTTGGATGTGAACTGATTGAGATTGTAGTCTTAGATACATGATTTTTATAATTAGTTGTTATGAACTTTGAACTAGCTGTCAGTAATTGCAAGTTTTCTCCGATCTGTACTTAGTGTTGTTGTTGTTTTTAGTATGTTTAAGTATTAATACAATGTCACATCTGTGTTTTTGATAGATGTATTTGTATTTGAACCCATTTGATGAGTTAAGCCTTTTTTCAACTGATTTTTATGGTTTGTTCGTAGGTTGTATTGTTATATCACAGTCAGTGGTTGTCGATGGTTATTGTCCATCATATTTGTTTTTCGTAGATTGTTAAGCTATTAATTAGCCCGGCAGTTTTCTCATTTGAATTGTTTCATTTGTTTTAATTCATGGGACTTTTATAGCTGGCCATACGGTTTTGGTAATTCTCATTGTGGAAGGCCGTACAGTTGACTATATTTGCTTACATCTATTTCATTTTGGTGAATAGTTGTCTCATCGGCAATCATACGAGATCTATTTATTTTAAATTAAAACTGTTATACTTGTTTAACTAGCAATTATAACATTTGTTTAATTTCATTATCTTACTTGTTATGGCCTACGATACACTGTAGATATAATTTTCATAGTTGAAATTTGAATCGCGGTAATAATCCTAATCAATCAAACATAAATGACTGATTGTATTATTGATTTGTATATGAGATCTTCGCAGGACTTCAATATGTGAAGTTTTTTTAATGTGCTGGTATGGTCATAAGCGGAACCATGTTGACCTTTAAAATCTGTTACGACCTATGCAACACATTCTAAAAGGTCCTGTCTGATGATTATAATTATAGTTTATTATCAGACTGTAGCTATACATAGATTTCAATAATAACTAACATGGAACCAGTGATAATACAGATACAGTAAAATGTTAAAAATATTGTTATGAATATCAAACTATGAATATTTTTTCTTGCCTGCGGAAATTACTCAGCTATGTCATGTATGTGAAAATATAGTTCCTTTGACTAAGGAAGCAGCCGGTTCTTTCGTGAGTAGTAAATCATCTGACAAGACACTACGCTCAACGAAAAAAGAAAAATAATTTATAAAAATTACCCAAGCATCCCACGAACGTCGAGTCCCGCTGCTCAAACGATGCTGCAAAGGACTTGAACCATCAACAATGAATTCGATGGCAAACAACATTCAATAAAAAGTGGTGTATTATATGACGTTTCTTTATTATCATAGTAAATAAAGAAGGAATTTGTATACTGCTGGGCTCCTGACTGGCTCTTTTGCTTTCTTACGATTAGCAATGATCATAAGTTATACTGCAATTTTTATGACTTACCGGTATTTTTGTAGCGTAAGATTATGAACCTAGTGTCTGCCAGACGTTAAGTTTCGCTTGTATCTTTGTATATCAAAACGTTACTATTCATCGGCATCCAAGGATATATTGTACGTCCAGGACATAGATCGACTATTACGTCACATATGACATGTCCGTGTTGAGCTAGAGGGGTCGTCTCAATTGTATTGATTATCAATGATGTATTTAACCGTTCGTTTTGCTTTAAGGATGGAAATAAAAAAAAACTTTGATAAACGACAATCTTTTTTAAATTTCCTGTTACATGATCACAGAATATAGTCTCATATGATAAAGATTTCGAATGTGTAATGTCCTTTATGGGCTTCCGTTTGACATATGTCAACTTATATTAACGTATGTGCTAATAAAATTGAGAATGGAAATGGGGAATGTGTCAAAGAAACAACAACCCGACCATAGAACAGACAACAGCAGAAGGTCACCAACAGGTCTTCAATGCAGCGTCCTTCAGCTGGCCCCTAAACAAATATATATACTAGTTCAGTGATAATGAACGCCATACTAAAATCCAAATTGTACACAAGAAACGTAATAATAATGTTTATATACTAAAGATTCGAGCCGACATACCTTATCCAGTAAGGGAAACAATAAACCCAGTAAAAAAGTTTATCATATTAAATCATACGGCACTCATACCACATCTTCCTATATCTATCAAAGTCGATTTGACAAAACGTTGGTATATGTAACTAAGAGAGCTACCTTAGGATATTTAAATCGGATGACACCTAGGTTGGTTGACCGTTATGGAATAACTGTTTCACCGATGTGTCATTTTGCCATGATGGCATTGTCAGTTCGTCTAATGAGTTTCAATGTTCCTTTGGTATCCTTCGAATTAATTCGCTTCCTTGATATCAATCAATCAAGTTGTCAAATTATTATTTAGTACATTTATAGAATGACCAGGACGCACGTCAAAATTAAAACAATTTATTTTCACTTCATAACGTTCCCAAACAATCAAATTACCAAAACTTGAAAAGCACTGAGAAATTCAATATTTTCAATTGCAGATATCAAAATTAATTCTGTTAATTTTCAACCTTCAGATCAGCGCGGGATTGCTAAAAAGGAACTGGAATATTGTAGTTGAAAAAATATTACCAAGGGATTATGTGATATTTTTAAGTTCACTTAGAATGCCTGAATGCCGTTTTATTGACAAATACTCAATATGTCATTTTGTTTTACATTATCTTATACAGGTAGAAAATTGACAAAATACTCTGCATTTGAAACCTGTTGAATTATTTTGTTTATATTCATTTTGTGAATTTTTCAATAGACTATTTTCATATTACCGACTTTTGACTCCGGATAATATAATTTGTCGACTGGTTACCTTGGACATCATGGTACCAAGTCAGATAAGAGCAAGCTAAAGAAGGAAAACCAAGCTTGCAATCGGTACAATTTTGGGGGAAAATTACTTGCTTAACATTTTTTTTTCACTACAAAATCATCGGAAAACAGTAAACTTTCCCCTCAAATTACACCAATTATATGTTTGATTTTACTTATTTTGGTTGCTCTTACTTGACCGAGTACCATGATGTCCAAGGTAACCAGTCGACAAATTATATAATCCGGAGTCAAAAGTCGGTAATATGAAAATAGTCTATTGCAAGCCAACACTTTTGTTTATATAATTGAATCATGAAAATGTTAATGTAATTAAGGCTTAAATGAAAGAACACAAAATACCAAACAAAATTTCATATTTGGATATAGGAAATATTATTATAAAAACCAATTGGAATTTAAACATTTTCAAAGTGTATAATGTGTACATAAGACAAATCGAAGAACACTCTACAATTTGTTTTAACTGAATACGGTATAACTTTCCCTGAGCCTTTTTTCCTCGGCTTTATGTTTTGCTTGATAATGTCACTTTACGAGGATGGTAGTATTGTATTAACCTAGATTATCAGATAATTTGTGGCTATATATTTGTATTGATATATTAATTGCGTGAATCCGTCTGCCATGGCATTCGAGGACTTGAACTTCAGTTTTTATTGTGGCCCAAAATGTTTCTCGCAAAATGACAATGCGTTATAAAATTATATTGACGTGGCGTTGTCACTGTATATTGATTTGGTTATGGGTGGTAAAAAAAGGCAGTCTGCTGGTATTGTTGTTGTTAGGACAGAAAGAGAAATTTTTAAGATGCAAATTTTGAAAAGGGATAGCAAAAAGCGTGCATGGTTGACCATGTTTGTAGTGTTGACCAAATCAATGTACATTGACAACGCCACGTCAATAAAACATAACTGGTTAAATGCCATGTCTAAACCCTGTTGAAATTAAACATATGAAATAGAACTCTTTTAGGAGAAGGTGAAAAAGGCCATGTTGGTAAATTTGAATTTGTTACATCTTTTTCTATGGGCTTTAAAAGTTTAATAAATGTACATAATTTAGGATTTTATGCATCTTATTTATGTGTTTTTACCCAAAACATGGTATGGAGCTTCGAAATATTTGTTAACCTTTAAATTATTGACAAAAAAAAACCCAGTCGACTGTGGTAGGTGCAAATACAAGTGGATCTTTTTTGTGCATAAGCATAAATTCCGCTGAAAAGAATTGAAAGAAAGATACTAAATTGATCTTTGTAAAGCTTTAATTTACATCCTTGCCCCTGGTGACAGTTTGTTTGGGCAATTACTTTATTAAAAAGAGAAAATCTATAAAATATTTTAATGTTCAGACGTGTTTGAGGTGTCTTTTCTGTCTTTAAAACGTATAATATTTGATACATCATCTCGCTTCAGATTCTATAATTTCATATATTCAATCTAAAGATTGATATAAAGACAAGATATGTTTGGACCAGCCTTAGTGTTTTTGTTAACGTTCGATTTGTAATTAATAAAACATTTGTTCATTAGTGAATGTTAGTTTATGCAGATAAGTAAATTTAAAAAGAAATATAAATATAAGTTAGCCATACTTGCCATATTTGCAATGATTGTAATGTGTACATATATATTTTATTTATAGTTTTGTCTGACAGGAAAATATGGCCTCGACATTTTTTTATGCGCAGAGGCAAATGTTAGGTTTTTATGGTGGGGTAATTTTCTCGGAAACTATAAGCATAATCTAGAATTCGAGATCAATTTTTTTTATGTACTGGTATTATGGCTAAAACTTAACAAAACATGTGATAGCGAGTTCCAAAATGATGACAACCAATTTTGACCAAGGTAATCAATTTGACAAATATAGAAAGTTAAAAAGAAAACATATTCCACGAACAATAAACAATGGCATTACATCAAAAACATGTTAGGAATCATTTAAAAAAAACGAGCGTAATTAGATTTTTCGTTTCTTTATCAAAATGAAAGTGATGTTACGGAAATTGTTCAATACAAGTAATTAAATTCGTTACTGTTAACCAATTACATGTATTACGTTTTGGTATACGTTTTTGTAAATATATCGCATGATCCCTTAGATCCTGATATTAGTTCTTATCAATTAGGCATGCTAGAGCCTTATCTATAAATTCACACATATACACACACAAATGGCAGTAAGTAACACACACCATAACAATGTAAAAATCATTAGTGCTTATATAAACATTAAAGGACAAATAAATATTGTTCACAATATGGCGAAGAAATCCAATTATTCAATAATGTTAATCCTTCTTTTTTGAAACATAACAACTTGATATACACTCATCTATGATTTACCAATTTGTTGCATAAAAATATTACTAGTATTTTAAAACTTGTACGCATCAATGGGTTTTCTGACGCTGTGTTGGAGGTCTAGTAGTTTCGTGAATCGATCTAAACGATCAGAATCAAGACGAGCATTATCAGTATACAAGCCAAGCAGGTCCCGTAGCATTTTCTTGTAGCTAACCTTAGCCTGATTGAACGTCTCGGAACTCATTGATCCATACATATTTTTGATGTGTTCTCATGCGCGAAACTACATTCAGGGAACATGAGGACTAAACAAGGATTTCCATGGAAGAAATGTGGCAACGTTGCAGAATTGATACATAAGTTCAAAAACGACAGAAAATAACCCATTGCTTCCTTGACCCCAGATAAAGAGTTAAGGTCCTTTGGTATCGTTAGTAATGTTATACAATGGAAACATATTGTTTTCAGGTGATTGGAAGCTGCAACTGTGTGAAGCTGATTGGTGCCGTCTTGGTTAAACACGTATGTTTTCAGGATTCGACAGGCCGTCACCAAGAACTGCTAACTGTGATTCGTTTGGGAAACGTCTAGAATGTGCCTTTCGTATCCGGATGTGCAAACTCTCCACAAAAAATCCTTGTACATTGCCATCTGTGTGTCTTGGCTTATATTGACCCATTTCATTACGGCATATACAGAACAGGACATTTTTGCGCTCCTTGCATTAGGATCTGGAACAGAATCGTTTCGTAAAAGAAGTGCTGGAACAATATCTATGTCCAAAGATGACTTCGATTTTAACGATTCACTTTGCAAGGTGATGATAGACAACTTGTCGTATAAATCGGGTGTACCTTTTTCTTTATTCAAGGTTATTCTAATGTTTATTGTTGGTGGTTTTGCAATTCTATCGATAGAATATTCTGTATCTCGAAGCATTTCATTCACAAGTTCACGGGTTTTGTCGATTATAGATTCGAACACGTTTAAGTGTAGATTCTTCGAGTTGATGAAATATTTGTTCCTAAATACTTGTTTAAATACTCCGTATTTTTTAATCCAAGGGTACTTTTCTAAAAGGTCTTCTGCATTATTAACCTGAAGTCTTACCAATCCCAGAGTATTTCCTAGAACTGGTTCTAACTCCAATCCATTTATATTAAATATGAGGATGCTATCAAATTCTAGAGCATCGATGACTTTCAGCCCTTCTCTTGAACTACCAAATTTTATCAGCTGATCGTGAAGAACCAACCCTTCAAACTGCTCTCCTGCAAATCTACGTATTCCTTGCATCACTATCCTAAGAATTTCATCCGTTGTACGACTATTTTCTTCAAAATCTGCAGGATTAATGTTCTGTAAATGTTCATTTCTTGAAATTAAATTTTGTAAGTCATGTTCATTGGTACCAAAGTTATAAAGCGGTGTTCGCCAGTTGTCCATATAAGCACCTACACCGGGTAACGTTTTCAATGATGGCTTTGGTCTGAAAAAAAAACATTATATATTATTAAAAATAATTCAAAAGAAACCCGGCTTATGATATAGTACGCCAGCAATGACACTAACTATGAAAGATGGTAGTACAAAAAAAAAACCAAATGTACAAGATGATCAAAATGAATGAAACTCTTTTAACCAATCACATTTATCCTTTCAATAATACATATTATGATGGTACCTATAGCTATTTCATACCCATCGAATATGATTGTTTTTTATTCACTTCAACTGGGCGATAACCGCTTGACAACCACCTTGATTATATCTAGTCGATGGTACTTGATATGAATAATGTTGATATCACAATTGGTATGACATGTGAGAGGTATGATAGATGATTGATTGACTATTCATAATAGTTTGGTATAATAAGTGATACACCAATCTAATTACAATACAATGTGTGCTTTCGCTATGCTTATACACGAGTCATGATGAGAACTAATCAGATCGGCTGACATGTATGCTTGTTATGAAAAGCATAATTGATATAATTTGAAAGAATTGGGTATGGGATGATATGTATTAGTAGTTTAAGTATGAGTGAAGTGCTGATATCATAAGTATGAATACATGAATATAATCACAATGATTAATATGATTAATTTGATTGGTATGACAGGATATTAAGGATGTTTGCTCTTCTGTTTCATAATAAAAAGCTTTTTAAAAGACTGTTAGTAAAGGTTTTAAGTAATTTGTGGTAACGAATTCACTTCTAAAAAGGAAAATTAACGATAGGGAATGAAAAATCGTCCCTTTTGTCGTAACTTTAAGTGTAGAGTTTCCCGTGTAAAACTGAAATATCAACATCTACGAAAGGACAGTTATTACGTTTAATGTTTGTTTTATTTAAAGTAAGTTCCTTTTGATACATTTCGGCAGTATATTTAGAAAATTCTGGATTATTCAACGAAAAAATATCATCAAGGTAACACTAAGTGTTGTTTATCAATTAAATGCAATTTAGACGGTTCTTTCCTGAGTTTGGCCATAAACTGTGATTCATAACAGTACAAGAACACCTCCAGTAGGTATATTTAACTTTCTAAGTAGAGAAGAAGGCATTACACGAGTTGCAGCAAATATATTTGCATTCAGATTTACCAAACGACCATTCAATTAAATATGAAAACTTTTGTTTGATAAGATTGTGTTGAAGTGTTGTGTAAAGAATTGAAAAGTCAAAACTGTCAACAGAACCAAAAGGACCATCAACAGCACGTAATTTATCTAACACATCCAAAGAATGTTTAACACTTGAAAAATAACCACTATTTTTTTATGTTTTATTACAAAAGTTAATGATAAGTTATTTGATCGTAGTTAAGGAACTAGTTAAAACACTGAAAGATTAGTTGTAAAACACTTAATAGAGGCAGAGATGAAACGATATTTTACTTGTTTTTGTGTAGTTGAGGTAACCAATACATAGTAGGGACCTTCAAATGTTCAGAAGAGGCCTTAAGCTGTGATGTGGTAATGATGTGATTGTTTACTATATGACTATCTGTGGAGCGCACGGACTTGAATGTGGAAGAATTTAACATTTCATTCTCAAGAAAATCCGTGTAGTATTTACAGCATACCACCACCTCACTGTTGGCTTGTTTGGCAGCCTGTACAAGAATAAACCGCTTTGCGAGTACTTTAAGTTTGATTCTTATTCTAGAAATAGGCGTATTTATGCACTCTTTTTTTTATTTCTAAATTACTTTCAAAATGTGATATTCGAATATCCACAACATTTATACATTTATTTAGATAAGAAACAAGAGATTTTTTATCTGATTTTCCCATCTATACCAATTTTTACAAAACGATGAAAGAGTCTCTTTTGTGACCTGACGACACTGTTTCCAATCTATTTTAGATGGAGGACGATATTTTGGGCCTTTTTTTCTAAAAGTTTACCTCTCTGTCTTGAACGATATTGATACCATGTTCATAGGGATCATATCTAAAATTAGACGATTCACAGTCTCAAGTTAGAGGAGTATTATTTCTACACTGACGTCTGATGTTACTAACGTCTAATTAAAAATTAAACTCCTGCTGGTTTTTTGTATGTATACGAAATAATAGTTGGTTCTGTGTTATCAAAATACGAAGGTATAAAGTTTTGAATGGTAGAGTCATAAAATATACTCGATAAGTTGATGCAATCAATACCTCTGTTAATATATTTAATTTTCAGAAAACGCCGTTTATGATCTTCAAGTTTATAGATACGCGGGAACAGCCTATGGTGGAAAAAAGCTGTAGTTATTCGCGAATATTGAAAAGTGGGCTGAAGAACGAGATTGTGTCACACTCCATGAAAATTTCATGTAATTTACTAATCGGTATTTGACCCAGTTTACATAAAAATTGATGCCTACCATTGTTTTTAAATATGGATAGGAGATCATCAAGTTTATAGATTTTACCATGTTTAATTCGTTGATTTCGACTGGTACGTTTGCCGAAAGACCTATTTTTACGTTGTCTTTTATCAACAATATTCATGATATCAATAGAAGAAGTTTTAGATATGTTCCCTTGTCCCATTGTATTGTGATTTAGACCCAGGAGATATGCAGTTCACAAGCAAAAAATCCTAACTGTAAAATAAAGGGGCATACACTACAGGCACGGGGACACATTCTACTGCATTAACACAGTACGAGTAACAAACCCTGCAGTAAATATAAAAAAAAAAGATGTGGTATAACAGCATTTCTTGGTACAAATTAGACAATTGAGCGCATCCACGGCCACCAAAAACTCTGCTTAAGTTTTTGATATCGGTGTATAGCTAGAGTACAACACATTTGATACTAGTGAAACGTCATTAATAGACACTGCTTAAAACTCTGTTTAAATTTTTGATTTCGGTCTATATCTTGGGCACTATACATCTCATACTAATGAATAAATGGATGCGACTCTCATCCTCTATGAAATTTACTGACCTCGTCTATGTCCTATTAGATCACTAGCACCCTATCTAACTAATAATATTACATGAGCACCCTTTATTAATATAAACAACGAAAAATCACAAAACGCACTGTCACTTTTAGTTTCCAGTCAACATACCATGTTTTTATTTGTGGTTTAATCAAGTTTGTGTTACACAGAGTCCTTGTTTTGCGATGTTTACAAGTAATTCATACACATGCATATGTCTATTCAAAATTGTCACAACTATTGAGAAACCCGTTGTTGTATTTCATTTATAGATGTTTAAAGACTAAACTCCAAATTTTGTCACGGTTGGTTGTCTTTGTAGTATTTACTATCGTTCATTGAAAATTTTTGTACTGTTCGTTGTGCTTTTTGACTATTCATAGGCAATCAATATGGTAGACGTATGTATGTAACTACTGCACGACAACTTTTAAAGCTTATCTAAGCAAGTACCAACATTTTTCAAGGCCAATTCGCCCTGAAAATGCGTTGCATTCATGGATTTTCTACTCCAGAATATTTTTGAATCCAAGACACACTAATAGAAAACTCACCAAAAATATTTGGATATGCATCATATGAACGTGTATCACCTCAAGAAGATGTGTCGCATATATTCGTGACCCTTGTTTTACATTGTCCACAAGATTTGAATATTTTCACGAAACATCTCAGAAACTTGATCGGATTCAAGTGTTCTCGATGAGTTGGCTTACTCCAGCAAGGTCTGTTTCATATGAAACATATACCAAATTCAGGTTTTTCAATTTTCAATATAAAACTGACGAACATCATAATAATTACAATGAACTAGGTTTGCGGGATATACTCCGGAGGAAGATACGCTCTTATCTGCACATATATCAGTTGTTATTCAAAATTATTTAATGTTTGCATTTATGAAGCAGTTTTCAGAGAGTATTTTTATTAGAGAATATCATATATTGGCTTCTCTCGGCTTGTTGTCCAGAATCAACTATACGGCGTTTATACCCCGTATATATTTAAGTAACCATGTACGATAAGTTTGGAGTTTCAATGTAAATATCATCAAAAGCAAAGTCATCAAACAAACGAATGTTGGCACTTTTTGCATGTCCAATTATCACATAAAACCACATTGAAAGTTCATCGCACCTCCAAAAATCCCACATCAGTAATGATCGCATTTACATTGATAATGCATCGCACTTAAATAGTTCAAATGAATCGCTTTTAATGCTGGATATTCTAGATTATGTTATGTAATTACACGTTTTTGGACTTTAATCCTGTTAGTGTACATTGTAAAGTCATATTCTAATAAAAATGTGTTAACATATAGGCTAAATATACCAATGGGACATGCAAACTCATAAGTCGAAAATAAATTGACAACGGCATGGCTACAAAAGAAAAGGACCAACTGATAAAAAAACAGTACATAAAACGCAACATTGAAAACTAAAGACTGAGCAACACGAAACCCACTAAAAACTTGGGAAGAATTCAGCTGCTCCAGAAGTGTAAGCAGATACTGCTTTAAATGTGGCACCTGTCGTGTTGCTCATGTAATTACAAACTCGGTGATGAGTTCGATTAATTAGGTCACATTCGGGGAAAAGGGGACGGGATTGTAGTTACGACAATACAAACATTTCCGTCGTCATGTGAAACATACATTATAATTAAATATTTTGTATTTGCAAAACGTAAACAAACACAGTCTTTCCAATCATCCTTTATTCTATAATAGTAATACTCGCGTATGACAGTGAAAAATGAACTAGCTGGATTCGCACTTTGTATACACTGTAGCTTATTATACGGCATGAGTTTAGCAAATTGTTGCTTTGGATACCCAAAATTAATAAATGTTATTTCCATTTTTTATAGCACTGGGAAAATACCGCTGCTGGTAGATTATCTGTCCCCGGGGATATCATAGGCTCAATAGTTAGTTCTTCGGTACTGTCATGATTTACAAAATACCTATTCCTCAGGCAATTTTCGATGAAGTGGACTTTTTGTTTAGGTCTCTTTTGTCCTATTTCCTTTTACACTGTTTTGCTACTTATACATCCTTGGCTTTTAAATATGTAACCCGCCATGACATTTCCAGGCTTATGGAGATAGAACGTCAATGTTAGAAAAACGCCGTTAACTATTATAATATAAACGTTATGTAAAAACTCGTATGGGGACATACACGTTTATTTCTATACTGAATTAACGTTGTGGATGTTTTTACCATTGTATATGAAATTTATATAATTTAAAGCTTTTAGCTAAAGCAAGATAACTAATCATAAACTTCAAAAATTTTGGAGCCATTGTTTATATAAAAGAAAGGGAGATGTGGTATGGTTGCCAATGAGACAACTATCCACCAAAGTTCAAATGAAGTGAATGTAAGCAATTATATGCAACCGTACGGCCTTCAATAATGAGAAAAACCCATACCGTGTTGTCGGCTATAAAAGGCCCCAATATGAAAAGTATGAAACAATTCAATTGAGAACACTAACGGCCTAATTTATAACAAAACAGTTTACGAAAAACAAATATGACAGACAAGAACCAACGACAACCACTGAACTATGTACATGACTTGGGACAGGCGCATAAATAATGTGGCGGAGTGGGTTAAACATGTTTGAATGGTTTTACACTTGTCATTTTGGGGGTCCTTTATAGCTTGCTGTTCGGTGTGAGCCAAGGCTCCGTGTTGGAGGCCTTACTTTGACCTATAATGGTTTACTTTTACAAATTGTTACTTGGATGGAGTTGTCTTATTGGCACTCATACCACATATTCTTATATCTATTGTGAGCGTTCAACCCTCCCCCTTACCTGGGACAGTGGTGTAAAGTACAACATATATAAGAACAAACTATGAAAATCAGTTGAAAAAGGCTTAACTAATTAGATGGATACAAATAGAAATACATCCAACAAAAACACAAAGTGGACGTGAACGGGTATTTGTACATCCAAAAAACTTAAAGACACTATGTACAGATCTGAGAGTACTCGCAGTTACTGACAGCTAGTTCAAAGCCAATAACTATTGAAAAAAAAATCATGTATCTAAGACTGAAATATCAACCAGTACACATCCAACATCCAATGGATACAGTGTAAAGACGTCATTAACAGTCAGAGAAAAACATGACCTTGTGCAATGCCAAACTAAAAGTATCGACAGATTGTAGTACCGTGAAAGTACATACGTGTAATATTTAGTATGGTTTTAATTTACTGATAACAAAATCAATATTTACATCAATTGAAACAATATTCAAAGATTTAATTACAGTGTTGAATAGGTAACCTTTTAGAATAAGTTTACTATGCGGTATGGATTTTGTTCAATGTTGAAGGCCGTATACGCTGACATATATATATTATAGTTGTTAACTTCGATGTCATTTTGTCTCTGGTTGAGAGTATTTTTCATTGGCAATTATGCCACATCTTCTTATTTTTATTCAGTCATAGCCCCTTAATACACCCCTTCCATCAAATATTATTTTCAACGCTTTTGTCTACATAAATTTGTCACGAACTGTGAAATATTGTAGGTTCCATAAGAATACAATCTTTTTAAATGGATTTAAAGAAAGAAAATGCATTTATCTATACTAGGAACAGTCGGTTGTAATAAAACGATTGACGTGAATATATGCGATGTACAGTTAATCTATGATAGATAAGTAAACAGAAAAGACCAGACACAGTATTTGTCCTAAAAGTCCAAATATGTCGTAAACTAGGTTTGCATCGTAAGTTTAAAATATATTAGTATCAACTTTTATTTGCAGTTCAAGGATTGTGAAAACGGTGGGGGTACCATAAAAACGTTAAAGTGGCATTTGGCAAAAGCTTATGCATTTACCATATATAAAGCTGCGGCCCAGCACCTCCCTCCCCCCCCCCCCCCCCCAAAAAAAAAAAGAAAAAAAAAGAAAACAAATAGATTCCGCCTCTGACTTTATAAGTTAAGGCTCGATAAAAAAAAATATATAAATTAAAAGTAAATCAATCATTTACAAATTTATAACTGTTTTCAAAGTGGTTCCTTCAATTTCCTCGAGTTTCAGATGAACAAGTATATGTGAAGAAAAGATTAACACTTCAGCTTGGCTTCTGTTTTGATGGCACTAAACTATACATCTTATATGAGGTCTGACGAAGTTTTACGTTATCGTTTGAAGTGAAAAATATTTGAATCTACATATAAAATCGATAAAAATATTAAAATGCATTGCTCTATAGATTTTTATAAATGGAGTTTATAATATAAACCTTAATAAATGCACCGTATCAAATGTATATATGAGGGTATGGATGGGGGTCCTTCATTTTCATATTCTTTTTTAAGGCCATTTTTCTCTATTTTTTATATGTTTGCCCATTATTCTCTATTCTTTATATCTTAGTATCGCATTATTCTATATTCTTTATTTATTTTGGGTCAATTTTTCCCTATTATTTATTTTCTTCGCCCATTATTTTCTATTCTGTAAACCCCAATCCGGACCTTCATATATGAGAACAACTACATTTATGTAATTATAAACTGTTACGTGAATCATATTGTGTAGAGACATGCATCATATATCAAAGTTAAATGACAAATAAAAAAAAAATAATTTGACAAATTTTACGCTAACTTCATTACAACAAGTTTAAATTACATTTTCTAAAAAGGAGCTAAGAACTGTTTGAATTTGTAGTACATTTAATTCATTTAAATTTTTATTCAAATAGTTCGAGATTACTAAGTGCCAATTAAATACAATAATTTTGTATTTTATAAATAAGTGCCTTCGATAACAAGAAGTCGTCATCGAATGTTCACATAATACCGTTAATCAATAAGACTCGTTTCATTGTTATTACAACAAATAGGTCATAATAACATGCCAGAGTGTTTTGTTTCAGTATGATCTAGATAAATGTACGAAAAGTCAATTTTAGATAAGGTTCCCCCATACGCCTGGATATGTTGTGGTTTTAGTTGACAACCCCATGTCCTATGGTAAAGATCGTGTCCGCTCTATATCTTGAGAACCGTTACGATTTCAATGTTTATACTTGACATGTATATAAAGCAACACCAGAGGGTGTGTCATAATGTATGTACAACTTCCTAGGTCAAAGGTCAAGGTCATAAACTTCGGTTTCAGTTGACAACCCCATGTCCAATGATAAAGATACAAATTTTTTACCACACATTATTCACAGCGGGGCCCACAGAGATGGCTCCCATCTCAATGATATCTAGTATTTTGTACTCCAGATGCAAGTCTCATCTACAAAGACTCATCAAATGACGCTCGAATCGAAATGCGTCGCTCATGGCTTAAATTTGAGCACCAACATATAAAAAATTGTCCTGCACATCAGTATTGGGATATTTTAAAGCATTTTACGTAGGTTGAAATAAGCGAAAAGAAATTCGAAAATAAAAGCGAAAATGTTTGTACAGTTCACTTCGACAACATTTTTTGGTAAAAATCCTAAATAAAATATCTCTAGATTCTAACATGTAAATAAAAGAAACACATTAAACGTTAATGAAATAACATGCCAAACCTTTCCGTTACATCTAATCCACGTTATCCTAATATTGACTAATATATCACGTTTCGGAAGATGATATTGTTAAACTGCTGTTGTAGATCAATCTCGTCGATGCATGTTAAAAAACGATCTCAGTTGACATTGTGGAAATATATCAATAAATTCAACAACAGAAAATACAAAACAGATACATATATGTATTTTGATATTTATTGAATTCTTAAATGCTTCTTTCATGTACTATAATTAGAATGTTAAAGCGTTGAACGACGTATATCATACACTTGTCCTGGTATCTGGTATTAGAGATTTACTGAAAGTCTCGATTCCGACTGTTGACTCCGACTCTGACAGCAAAAATTAAAGAGGTCGTCTCAAAAGTAAAATACGGGGGGGGGGGGGGGGGGGGGGGGGTAAGAATAAAAAGGCAGTACCAATGTATCAAAGAAGTAACAAATCAAGGACCAGTTCAAGTAAGAAAAAACGTCAGACTCGATATTTGTTGAAAATAAAATGTAGGACTAAAGTTTTCTTCTTATCCCCCCCCCCCAAAAAAAAACAACTAAAAGGTAGCTCCCTAAGTTAAGTTAACAAGTGGTGTGGGAGAAGCGGGAACATGTAATCAGTGCAGACCATATTACTTGAAAATATGTGCCAACAAATTAAAAGCTGGGGCGGCCATTCTGAAAAAGGAAAATGGCAACCCAGGAAAATTTCTGCCAGGTTTGGTTTGAGTGAACAGATTTGGATTTGAATTAAAGGGAGCCCAGAGGGACCTGGTCCCCTTTTCTGGAAAATTTTATTAAAATAACGAAAATGTTTGGCAAAATTTGTATCGTGCACCCCCTTTAAGAGCCAAAAAATGTAGCGGGCCCCCGTTTCTGGAAATTATGAATCCGCCACTGGTCAAACCAAAGACTTAAAAATTGATATTCACTGCTTCTCTACTAAGCACGAAGCATGGTCGGCCCTGAGTCAGAATACTGTGTTAGGGTTGGTTGACATGTTTTACTGCGGACAGTTACCTTTTGAAATGGAACGTTAAAAATTGGTGTGTTGGTCTTGTACAATGCAAGGTCAAATATTCATATCTAATTATGTTCCCTTTCCTGAATTTAGCTTTCCACTTTAAGTTGAACACCCAACCATCCATTCATCAATCCTACATTCATTTTTGGACGAGAGGTTGAACGCTCAATGGCTGCGATGGCTATTTTAAAATTTGAAATGGTTGTCAGACATAGTTCCTGCATCTAAAGATCTTTCGTTTATACCAAGTTTGGTAAAATACTTTTTTTCAGTCGGAAAAGATAACAAACAAAACTACGGATGCCAAGTGATCAGATGTAAATACATGTAAAAAAACTACATTCAGGCAATCATTCATGTTTTTGCCTAAAACATTGCATTTTATTAAGTTCGATAGCTGTAAAAACATGGTATACAGAGTTTTTTTTCGCATGTCTTTTTGCTTATGGTAATCGTATATGCTTCTTGTTTTCATTTTTTTTTGGGGGGGGGGGGGACTTCTTAATTCAATCTGAAATTCTTACCAGATCGATTCATTGGCATATTTTTCTTGTGGAGTGGCCATGAGTTTTGCAAATTTCGTAGAAATTCTGCTTTTTAACTGCTTTAAGGTTGACTGCTCATATAGACGCTTTGCGTCGTCGGGAAGTGAATCCATATTTGTCTTTATAGGACCTATGATTTTGTCCCATGAACAGGGGTGAAGTTGGTAGGCGTTTAACAGAAGGACAACTTCTTGGTCCGACAAAAAAAAACACTTTTTTCTTCCTCATAAGAATGGTTGGTTCTGAAATAAAATAATGTCTTTATATCTTTTTACTTCATTTATATATCATTTCATTTAAAGTAGGGATTTGAACAAATTTTTCTGGAGATTTAATCTGGTACGCACGACTTTGAAACTCGTGAGCTTGACATTTTAAAACTGGTAATCAAGACTTTAAAAAACTGGGCTTGAAGTCATTAAACTTCCGAGTAGGTTTTGTGTACTCAGACTCCAAAACAATTCTCAACCAATCAAAATGCTGGATTTAATGTTTCGAGCATGATTTTGTGTTCAGAACACTGAGCAAAGTTTTATGACTTTAGGCCCTGGTGCGCACGACTGTCAAAATGGTGTGCACGACTTTTAAAATGGAGTGCACGACATTCAAACTAGTTTAAAACTTGTGCGCACGATTTTCAAACTCGAGCGCACGTGTTTAAATGTCGTGCGCATCATTTTTCGAAAGCCGTGCACACCAGTTTTTAAAGTCGTGAGCACCAGTTTAAAAATGTAGTGCGCACTAGTTTAAAAGTTATGCGCACGAGTTTAAAAGTCATGCGCTCGAGTTTAAATCTTATACGCTGGAGTTTAAAAGGTCGTGTGCACGAGTTAAAAAAATTGCGCGCACGGGTTTCAAAATCGTCGATTGACATTCCCGATCTCTGAAACACAAAAATAAAATTAAGCTCGCATATACAATATTTTATAGATAGACATTTTTTGTAAATCATAACTCCAAAAGTACAAAGCAAAATGGCAATTCAATATTTCAATAAGCTCAATTCGATTTTCAAATATAAATTTACGGAAAAAGGGACAGAGGCGGATTAAAATGGGACCAGTGTGCCCGGCCCCCGTAATCGGAAATAAAAAAAGAGGGGGGAGGGAGGGGGGGGGGGGGGGGGGTGTTTGGCCTTAACTCCCTGCTGTCGTCGGTGCAATCGACGGCACTTTTGTAGAGATATATATAGGCCACAAAATGAGCCGCAAGAACTGTATTTTTCCGGTCATCATCACTACCACGCCATAAATACGCAAGTGATAGTTGACAACGAGGGAAACATTAGCCATGTCGAAAGCGGATTTAAGGCCATTACAATGCTGCGCAGCAGTATAAGATGATGAGACAGATTGGAGCCGATGCAACGCTAAATTTTCCAGAAGAATATGTGCTATTAGGAGATAAAATTTATCCAAATCGGCATCCCGTAATTACGCCATTTACGCGACAGCAAATCAACAGAAAACCAGATCACCAGAAACGCAAGAGTAAAAAATTTAATAGAATCATTGCAGAATATAGAATTCTTGTCGAACATGCCATGGGTGACCTAAAAAATTATAAAGTGATGGGTACTTTGTGGAGGCACCCAAGACAAAAACTCAGACAAATTGTGGAGACTTGTGCAGGATTTGTAAACAGTAGACAAACCGTATTTGATTGAATAAATCGTTGTGTAAAATCTTGTTAAACTGTTATTTGCCAATTTTACCTTGAAAAGCTAATTCATTAGTACTGTTTTTTTTAATTTTGAGACGACCTCCTTCATTTTACCTGTCAGCGTCGGGGTCAACAGTCGGTACCGAGACTTTCCGTAAATGTCTATTATTCTTAATCCAGAAATTTACCTTCATCCCATTACCCTTAACCAGAGAACAAACATATATTCTTTAATATTTTTTGAAGAAAGCGAAATTTGTATAATTTTTTTGTCAACAAGATTTATAGTTAACTAATAAATATTTTTCGAAATATAGTATTGTGATAATTTTAGAAAAATGCACAACTATTGAAATAATTCTTAATTGTAAAGGGAGAATTCATTAAAAAATTGTATTTTATCGAAAGGGAGACAACTGCAACGTTTTACTTTTAAACGGAAATGTCTGAATTTCAAAGAAAAAGTGCACACGTCAACGCATTTTTCAACCTTTATAACAAACTAGAAACTTTCAATTTGGATAAAAGTTTGCTTCGTATTTGTATACATGTAACCAGCAAATACCTGCATGTGGTAATTCAAAGAAAGTTTATCATTCCTCTTTTACCTTAGCATCGTATTCGGAATGTTTTTGTGGACGTGCCTAGAAGAATATAAAACTTGCGAATACGAAATGGATTTTTGAGTGTTACGTGCAATTGATTAGATTTTGCGTGATATAAAACAGTTCATTTGTACGTTACTTCCTTCTAAAAGTGCGGTGAAAGATACCAAAGGGTCATTCGAACTCATTAGTCGAAAATAAATTGACAACGCCATAACATCAACAACAATATATAGCTTTCATCTGTTAATAATCACCAAATACAATATATTTTCAAAATACACAATGTGCAATAACATGTCCTTCAGGTAAGTCGTTGAGTTTGTGGAAGATTACACGCTGGTGATTGACTATTGCTTTCGGAGATTTATTAAAGTATGCAAATTTTAGTAATTTACATATTGGGGTAGTGTTATTAACTGTCAATACTGTCAGTATTGTTTTTGTGACAAATACAGACAAAACAATTATAATATTGATTGCGGGTTTAATTGAAATTTATGTATACATTTTTTCCCGTCATATTCTTACAAATACTAACTGTATAATTTTAATCCAAGTAAAGAACACACGCATACTAAATAATGCCGATATGTAAAACTGTTGACATTCGTATGGTTTAACGTCTATGAACGCAATTCAACAATATGCAAGACAAAGCTGCATGGAAGAATTCACTCGTTTCGTTTGTTTTTGAAATGTGTCATACCACAAAACAATACCCTACCTCTGTAATTTGTGACAAAAAATCTATTATGAATGTATTTTATCGATTCAATGTTTTGTTTTTATCATGTTCAAGTAAGCTGATGATGTATGCTTTTCTTACGTAAATCTGTATACTGCTAATGGCGAATTGCTTTTTGCACTGTTATTACTATATCCATAACATATGTTAATATCTTTTATATTGGCATTGATGATTGCCTTCGTATATTTGTATAAGTCTTGCATGAATATTTTCATGTTTTAATTTTAGTTTCATTTTACACAGATTACATCTACAACTAATCTTTGTACTTAAAATATCTCAGATAATCAATCATGTTTGTTTCTACCTTTCTGGTCTATAATTTATATTTAAGTCATGTTTGTTTTTGTATATTATATATCCTTATATTCAATAATCAGAATAAAGTTCAATTAAATCCGTCGTCAAGCATGGTTATTGTTCACTCATAAAAACACAATTTGACAATTATCAAGATTGTATAATAACTTCAATGTTAAGACCAAGATTTTATAAATGGAAGTACTTGACAAAAATTAGTAGTAATACCTTTCGTTTCTTTAATTTTGATAAACAATGTATCATTT